GTGTAAACAAATCATCACAGACACATTTTCATTATTTACCTCACTGTTCTGACATTTTGCAAATTATTTACTAAATGTTAAATTTCCAAATGTGTAAATCTAAATGTAAAAGTTAAATCTTAAAAGTAAATTTTACATTTAAATATTTCAGAATGGAACACAGCCTTTGATGTTCGTGCTAATGATGTCATCATCCTGAGACAAAAGCAAATGCTAATAATGCTAACACCTCACATCGTTTAAGATTTAATTTTTACATATATTATTTAACATTTTAATTTTACTTATCAAAATGTCGGAACTTCCCTGCTCAAGCTGCTGCCCCCACAACCCGACAAGCAGAAGGTAATAGATGGATGAAATGTAAGAGCAGTAAGCTAAATAACAATAAAATGTGGAAATTTGAGCATTTTACCCTCAGAAAGTGAGATAAATGATGAACATGTTAGTGACATTTTTTAACATTTTATATTACATTTGGCGCCCCACAGAACAATCTACAGMAAAATGTGTAAAAATCCTGTAAATTCTACTAAATGTCATCTTATTAAATCCTAACGAATAATAAAACACTTGATTGTTCATAATAAAACTTTAAATGAAATGACAAAGACAGGACAAACCTGGAATACCCATGATGCAAAGCAGTGGGTAGTAGATCTTCTGAACAGTGACGAAGACAGCAGCGCTGGTTTCTTCCATTTTTCACTTCCTGCTACTAAACCTGCAATAAAACCATCAATAAAACACAAGAGGATGTTTTATTACATAGTTTAACTACTTACAGTTTTAAACAAGGACATCATTTAAACACTGAGTAAATTAAGGTGAAAGTTTTGTGCAAATAAAGCTCTGAAACATGTGATGCCATGAAATAAASTATTAAAAATATCCCTAAAACATTTTCATTATTTTCTGTGTTAAATCCTAGTTAAACATTTTCCACAAACTTTTTATTATTTGGTTCACTGTTCTTACATTTTAATATTTTTTTACTAAATGATAATGTAAATATTAAATCCGAAATCTAAACGCGTAAATCTAAATGTAAAAGTTAAATCTTATATGTTGAAGTTTACATTTAAGTATTTCTGAATGGAATGCAGCCATTGGTGCTCCACTCTTGTTATGACGTCATCATCCTGAGACAATAGCAACTGCTAACGCTGCTAACTGTGTTAGCACTGCTAATGTGTCCCTACAAGACAGCAAACTTGCGGATGCAGATGGTGACAGAGCTGCACTTCAAACTGCCGGACCACAAGTACCACCCATATCGTTTTCAGTGAACACATTTTGATTTAAAATTTTAAATCCATCTTCAGCAGGGTTAGCAGAGTTAGCAGCGTTAGCAGAGTTACAAGTTTCTATTGTCTCAGGATGATGATGTCTAATGCTGCTAGCGCTACTAAAGCTGTTAATGCTGCGATCTATTCCAAAATACTTAATTGTAAACATTAACATTTAGCGACAACAGTTAAGATTTAACTTTTACGTTTTGATTTGCACATGTAGATTCAGGATATAATATTTACGTTATTTAACATTTGTATTTAAAATTTCGTAAAAATTAAAAGTGTTTGAACAGTGAGCTAAAATAAAATGTGAAAAACTTTAACTAGGATTTAACACTTAAAGTCAGCTAAATAATGAAATGTTTTAGTGACTTTTTTAACATATTGCTTGGCGCCCCGTACAATGATGTTTAAAACAAAATTAAGGATCAAAGTCTATTTTATATCATTAAAAAACTTCCTGCATCTGAATTTAATACTCAGATTAAAGGAAACATTGTTGAAAATATAACAAATGAGATGTTTTCAGGACTGTCTGAATAAATTGCATGCTCACATTAATAAGCAAGCTGTTTCAAAAGGATAAAAAGTTTGACTTCATTTATTAGAACTGAGTTTCATTTGAATTGTAATTTAGCAATAACACATAATTTATAATTTTATACAGTATTTTGTTTTGATTTTTGTAGTAATGTGGGTCTGTTAAACTGGTGGAACAGTGTGTTCAGAGTTAAACAGAGCAGACAGACAGACAAGCTAAACCAACTTGTTTTTTATAGTAAAATCTTCAGCTGATGACTCAAAATGGCAGATTTTATTGGCTGGATTTATCCGGCTGTGACCTCAGAGAGGGAAGGAGTGTAAATTTCTCCTGAAACCTGTTCTTTTTATTACTTTAACAGGGAAGCTGTTCTTCTGTGGTTGTTAGTGTCAATTATTTATTTTCTTTATGACATTTTGCTGCAGCACTGAACAGCTCATATCTCAACTCAAGTTATTTTAAAACAGAAAAACGAATCTATCAGTCTTAGGAATAATGAAGAGACATACCTGGTGTCTGCAGGGCTCCTTACAGCGATGAAAGTGTCATAAAGACAAGCAGAGCACATTCATCCAGCTGCTCGTGGCTCCACCAGACCAGCAGCTGGATCATATGAAGGAGGGACCTGTGAGGCTGCTGCTCCCAGGAACAGTCAGGGAGGAGGAAGGTGACGAGGAAATGATGTTCCAAGATGTTACCAGCTGAGAGCCTGACRGACCAGTGACAGTTCATGATCAGCTGAGGTTTTTGTCCTGATTATTTTACTTCATTCAGCCGAGGACCAATCAGAGCTCAGCATTTGTAGCTGCCAACCTACTGATCTGAGACAGTTCTTTCATCCATCCATCCATCCATCCATCCATCTTCTTCCGCCTATCCGGGGTCGGGTCGCGGGGGCAGCAGCTTCAGAAGGGAGGCCCAGACCTCCCTCTCC